ATCCAATTAGCTTAATAAATCCTGTGCCATAAACTAAACTTATTGCACGAATTCCACGCCCCGTTGGCCAAAATGAAATGGCTCGCAGAAATGCTGAAATCAGCCACACAATCAATTAAAAATTGTGTTTAAAAAACACTCAAATTAAGAAGAAATAGGCGCCACAGGCGCACACGCTTAGAATATGTTAGAATTTTCTTGTATCAAGATACTTTCCAGCTTCCCTCATCATAATATTTGCTAAATCAGCAAATGTGTCACTTGAAGAAGGGTGCAAAAAAAACATATATTTATATAAATGTATACAAACTGCACGGGAATTCTGCTTGATGTAGAATGAAACGCATTAATTTGGCTCGTTATGATTATTGCCACGCCATGCCACGCCCCTCATACACACCGCCCCTTGTTCAAAGCTGGAGAAGATGATGCACTGTTGAAAATTGGGTGTACTTTTATAGATAGAAAAAGTGGTGTGTGGGAAAACTTAACAAACAAATTGAACTATTGGTTTTGGGAAATATTTATGAACTGAAGATTCATTTTTTTAAATTAATAAAATATTAAATTTCACAAAAATATGTTAAGTTTTTACAATATTATAAAAGTTAGTTTTTAAAACTTCTTCTTTTAAAATTCTATTTTTAAAGTTCAAAAATTGCGCTTTCTATTTTACTTCTATTATGATTGCCAAAGTCTCTGAAATTGAATTATAAACTATAAAAAGAAATTTTGTATATACAGAGAGACTATTAATATATAAAATATATCACTTTCTAAATTATTAAATATGATATATACATTTTTTTTAACTTCTTTTATTTAGTTTTAGTGAACTGCTCTCAAGTAGACCATATGGAAATGCCTTGAGTAATATGTTTGTCTGACTCTGCACAGACCAAACTCTGACCCCCATTCAGACCCTCTTATTCGTGGTGGGGCAGGGCGGGGGCTGGAGGGGGAGGGCATTCGAGGAGGGGGAACCACCGCCAAAGGCGCACGTTAAGCGAATCGTGCACACGCCCCATGACGATGATTAATTACCTTTTTGGCTGCTCCGCTCGCTCGCTCGCTCGCTTGCCGTTCCCTTGCTGAATGTCTCGGATGTATCTTTGTATCTCGCAGCTTGTATCTTGTGCACATTTCACTTATGCACGCCTCACGCTTTGGTGGCCAGAGGGTGCTCCTCCAGCCCCTGCCTTCTCCACCAACTCCTTCTTTAGCTTTTTGGGGGTTCGTCGTTTGTCGCTGATGAAGTTGTATTATTTATCGCAAAAGTGATTTTTCGCACTTTCCGCATGTCTTTGGTTGTCTGCTTACCTCTTCTTTCTTACGGACAGGTGTGGAAAAGGAATGAAAAGGAGAATATGATGTAAAGGAGAAGGTATAATGGGGTATTAGGAGGTTGGTAATATTATTTTTACCATTTTTATGGTAGAAATAGGAAGTTGCTAATGCAATATTAATACATTTTCCACAATTATAAATTTCATATCAAGCTTTTTTTATATTTATCTTGAAATATAATAATATTTTCCATTTCTAGTAGTATCTTCATTTGTAAGATAAATATTTCCTGGCTCTTTGTACATTTTCCACCTCAAGTTATAAAAATTTACGAACCATGCTCACCGCATGTAAAATTTCATAAATTCCAAAACCAATGATCTTTGTAAGTTCCACTTTTGACAACCATAACTTTTCAAAATAATTGATATTTTGAGGTATAAATATATAGGGCCTCAAAACTAACCAAACTCATTACTCTCATCGATTGCATTATCTCTCGTTCGATCACCAAATTTAGGATGCACATGTGGTCCAACGACTCCTTTCGAAACATATCAAATTGCCCTACAAATCGATTGGGGGCGTAACTCCTAGATGAGTTTTTAGGGGTTGCCAGTTGAGTATTTTCACAGAAATTCGAAACCGCGCAAAGTCAATGAACCAAAACAAACGAAAACAAAAGGGGAGACAAAGAAAACAAATACAATAGGAAATAAACAACAAAAAAGGCAACAAAATATACAGAAAATGCACAACAATTTGACATCTGTTTCAACGCCAGAAAAAGGAGTAAAAAGTGAGCGAGGACAAAAAGGATGTCACGTAGATTGACTTGTACAGCGCAAGGACGAGGGCTCAAAAACTTCAACTTGGGAGCCACTCGAAACTCCTCAGCGAAAGAATAAAATTCCTTGGAGTTTGAGTGACAAATGCCAAGGGTTAATGAGATCCCTGCTTGGGTTCGCTTTTGGAAATTCAGAGTTGTGTTAATTATCATCAGCGACGACGACGACGAGCGGGAGTTTAAACGCTTCATTAGACAAAAGATACAAAGAACTGGAAAAGCAGAAAGGCAGAAAGGCGGAGCAACTACGAGAGGGGTGAAAGCGATACCGATACCAAAACATATTTAGTGAAAAATATCAAATTACCAAAAAATAAAAACCGGGAGTCTTAACGGGAATGGATTTTTGTAGAGCAACAAAGGGGTCTGAAAGAATATAAATGGGGAATAATATTAGGCATTCAATTTGTCACTTTTAACATGGGTGAGAGATTCTTCTGACTTGCGAAGAGATTAAGAGTTGGAAGATACTTTTCCTAGATACATTTTAAACTGATTCCAGGAAATAACAAGATTATTTAGAATTGTTAAGATTATTTTTAGGGTCAAAAATAAATCAAATTTGGTATAAAAGTAAGCAAAATTCCTTTCCATTTAACAATTCCCTCAAATCCTTACCCTAATGAGCTTTATTGTTAAACAACATAATTATTTGCAGTTCAAGTATTTCCTAAGAAAACCATTCAAGATCATTAATATGCATTGTATTTTTGAAAAATGATTATTCAACATGCTCAAACTTTAATTGTCAAAAGTCCACTGTCCGCTGCCCTTAAAATGCAGCCACAAAATTATGCTAAATTATTCATTTATATTAATTAACTCAAAAGCTAAAGGCGAAGCTGCAAGAAGAGATGTTTCAAGTTTCAGTTTTTGGCGTGTAAAATGATTGATCGATCGATCTGGCAAAGAAACCTCCAGATGAATCATTCGAACGCAGACAAGTGACTCATTTTTCGGAATAACAAACATTATCGAAAATGGGAATCGGGATCGTAAAAATGCAATTGACAGAGAAGAATATTCCGGGTTAAAGGTCATGCTTGGTCTTCTTCCCGTTTTACGACTCTCAAAACAAAAACCTTAAAGGGAAAACACCGCCTAGAGTAGTGCCCCCCTCATAAACCATAAAAATGCATAATCTATGACCACTTGACACGCATTAAACAAAGCCAAAACATTTTAATATTTTTTTATAAACATTTCCTACTTTATTGAAATATTTTTTATGAGAGCTGAAAGAACTAGATGGGTGGCAGAACTAAAGTCAGCGATAAGAAACACAATCCCCAAATTAAAACTGAAACCGAAACCGAAGCTCAGATCATAGTTTTTCATGAATTTCATGTACGGCTTCCGTCACACGACTAACTTAAATCATAAAAAACAGTACAACAAAGAACAATTTTTTCGTTCCGCCAAAAAAAAAAATATAGGAAGCTATCAAAAATACACAAAAAAAAAGGAAAACATAAAAAGTAGGGGGAGTTACATTGTCAAAATCACGTGCGTGCGGCGTCACTGGGAAACTCTTTTTTCGGGAGTTGTAAATTTATTTCGTCATATATACAGCCGGAGGTCTTGTTATGCAGCTTTTCATGACATTTTCCCTATGTTTTCCCACTGAAATTACAACTTTGTCATCAAATTCGGACCAAGAACATAACAATTGTTTGTAATGAATAGCTAATAAAATGTTTACGGAAATGTTTTTGCAAATATTAACTACTGAGGGTAATAAAAACAATAATAGAAACCATAAAATAGTAAAGATTAATCCGAAAAAAATATAAGAAAATTAAGTAAAGTAATATTATACAATATGTACTTCCATAATTTGAGTGCTAACCGAATTTTCACCAAGAGTATTTAAGTTTCTGTTTCAATTTAAATTCAATTATCACCTCTGGATGGATTTTTTCCTTAACAAAGTCTGGTGACACATGAAATTATTGTATAAAATTCACGCTAGTCAAGCTTTTTATTTTGCCCTAAAAAAATATATAAAAACTTCCGACTTCCGTAAGTTGAAATAATTTCAGGGTGCGACTTCTGATTAAAGGCTGTGTATTAAATATTCATGTAAATGTCAATTTAAAGCTACTGTCTCCCCCTCATTGATGGGTTATGGAACGGTTGAGTGGCGACTTTTTTGTCGTCCCGGCTTCGGTCTGCATTATTATTGATATTGAGTCCATGAATCCCCAATGAAAGGCTGCCCTTGCCGCTAACTTTCCTTTTTGAACTGTGCCGACGCGCAGGAAAGGGTGGGTGGAAAACCAGGGGGTTTTTGGGTGTTTTTTTGTTTTGGGGGGGGGGTTTGGGAGACGTATAAATAACAATAGATTTATTGCAAACAATACATGAAATGCATTCGAATAGGGCTTTGATATAAGGCTTTGTTTGGTTTTTTTATGAGTTCTCCTTCGCATAACTTTAATCAAAGTTGGGAAAGCTATAATTTTGATACAAAAAGGCAACGAAAATATAAAAAAGATAGTAGTTAGTAAAGCCTTTTAAGGAAATATTTTGATCAATTTCGAGATATTTTACTATATTTGCGTTAAGAAAATTTACATTCTTTGTCAGGAATAAAACTTCTAAATAATCTTTTTCAAATGTGACCTTATTACTTTTCTCAAACCCACCTCTGACTATCGATAAAACATAATTTAAATTAAGTGACAATCCTTAAAAGGCAAACCCTATTATAAAGCCTTCGAAACTCGGCAACTCTAAAAAAAAGCAAAGTCACTTCGCTTTCTTCTTGTCAAAAAAAAGGTGTGCAATTTATTAAGTGAGGAGGAAATTTTCTTCAAAAGCTCCAGTTTTTTTTTTTTTTTTTATAAAAATAAAGGAAGACACTAGGATAATGTCCTCACCCGACCAATGTGACGATGACTTCTGGTTCACCATGGACTCACCGTCAGCAGCGCCTATGGAGGGCACTGAGGTCGCCTACGAGAACTTTCTGGAAAAACCAGATGAAAATGTTAGCTCGGCATCCTTGTCAGCGGAAGGCAATGCCATGGGTTTTGATGATTTCATTGACACGACGGAGCTGCCGCCGGTTCTGAATACCCTCGAGGAGGACAGCACCCCCACTCCGGAAACGCAGGACCAAGTGAGCACCATTGATTATCCGGTTGACGAAATTAATGCTAACATGCTAAAGATACAACAGGAGAAGAAGACTGTTCTGAAGCCCAAAGGCGTGCCGCTGAAGGAATATCCCTTTATTTTGAAGCTCTACCTGGCCGCCAGCAGTGATGCCATCCCCATGATCAACTGGTCACCAAATGGCCTCCAGCTGGTGATTGACTATCAGACTCTGCAGCACCACCTGACCGCCGGCAGTCAGATCTTCCGCTCCCGTAGTGTTTTGCAATTTACGGAAACGTTGATGGCCGAGGGTTTTGTGAGGATCCATGAGGAGGAGATGCACCCATCCGGTTCAGAAGCACCCACCTTAAAACCCATGTTGCTTTGCTACCGGCAACACCAGTTCGTCAGGGGTGACCTGGACAGCCTGCACAAGTTGATGAAGGAAAACCTGCTCATTAAGGAGGATAGCCCGATGGGTGCTCCGCATGGCAAGAAAGATGACGAAGCTGATGACGAGGAGGCAGAGTTCCCTGTGCCGCTCCACTTGCCCTCGAAGATGCACCTTAAGCGAATGCAGCATCGCGGCGACAAGTGCTGCTCCACCGTCTCCATTCGCTCGCCCATTCAGGAGGCCCGCTGCCGTTTCCGCACACTGCTGGATCACCTGGCCGCCACCAAGGTCGTCCAGGCAAGCGCCAAAATGTGGGAGAAAGCTTCAATGAGGAAAGGCCGTCCCTGGGACTTTCCCACCTTTACCAGCTCCTCGATCAAGTTTGTGAGACCCCAAGACTCTGTGATCACCCTGGATGCGAACAAGCCGCTGCCAGAATACGCTGGCTACTATGGCCGGGTGTCTCCCACCAAGGTCACCAAGTTCTTTTCCGAATATCTGCCGCGTTATGGCAACAAGACCACTGGCTACAAGGACATTGTCCTGGAGACTAGCACAAAGCCCAGCAATTTCCAGCAGAATCTACCCATTGGTCTGGATTATTCGGATAGCGATGACAATGAGCCTAACGATAACCAGCCAGCCGTCTCCCCTCCTGGCCAGGACTGCGACTTGGACTTTATGCCCTCCACATCAGCAGCAGCAGCGGCAGCGGCAGCTAAGAAGTCTTTTGGACACAAAAAGAACGCAGAGCCAGTGGACGATCAGGACCTGGAGGAGGCCATGCAGGAGCTGTGTGGCGGATCGGCAGCTCTTAAGGAGAATGGCTCGTCGGGCAACCGTGGAAAGACCAAGGCCCAACCGCAGCCGAAATCTCCGAATGCCACATCCCGTAAGCGACGCCCTATAAGCTATGAGTCCAGCTCCAGCGAGGAAGAGACTGTAGCCAGTCGGAAGGCAAAAAGAGCCAAGAAGGTAACTGTCAAGGGCACCTGGAATAGGTTGGAAAATACCCAAGAGGAAGCCATTGAAGATGATCAAGAAGTTGTTCCTAAAGGACGAGGCCCGAAAAGCAAGGTCGCAATTCCGAAAGCCACGACCCGAAAACGATTTGCCAGCTCAAATAAAGACGAGGCGACTCCCCCAAGGAAGAGACCACGGAAAGGTGACCAGGACAACAGGAAGCTAAAAAATACACAATTGGAAGGTCTAGAAGAGTTTCTTGTGAAGAAGAAAGGCGGGAAAGCTGATCAGGAAAACGAGGGCGATGATGACGAAGATAATGAGAACGAATCTGACTATGAAAACGAGGAAGAGGATGCCGAAGAAAATCAGAACGACTATAATGAAGAAAACGAGGCAGAGTATTTAAATGAAAACGAGGATGTCCTACAGGACGACTTAGAGAATCCCCAAGAAGACGAGTACCTAGAAGAAGATATCGTCGAAGGAGGCGAGTATCTAGAAAATGATATCGGCGAAGAAGGCGAATACCTTGAAGAACATCTCGCCGAAGAAGATGAGCAGTCAGAACACCAGTTTTCCGAAACATTCGAGCGACCACAAGAGCTCAGTGAAGAAGATGACCCAGAAGAACAGCACTTAGAAGGAGAAGGGCATTCAGAAGGCGAAGTTCATCCAGAAGAAGAAGGTCATCCAGAAGGAGAAGGGCATCTAGAGGAAGAAGTGCACCCAGAGGAATACCACCGAGAATACTACTCAGAAGAAGACGAGCGCCCCGAAGAGAATATGAATGCAGACGAGAACCAGGAAGACGAAGTTTACGAGGACATTGAAGAAGATTTGGAGGCCGAAGACGGCGAGGACGCCGAAGACGACCAGAACGCCGAAGAAAACGAGGAGGTTGAAGAAAACGAGGAGGCTGAAGAAGATTCAGACACCGAAGAAAACGAGGAGGCTAAAGAAAATTCGGCTGCCAAAGAAAAAAAGAACAAAAAAGAAAATTCGGACTCCGAAGAAGACGAGGACGACGATGACGATACCGACGACAATGACGACGATGATGACGATGATGATTATAGCGTTCAGTACCGCACAACTGCAGTGCAACCGGAAAAGCCAAGACGCTATGATCTCCGCAACTCCATGAGGAAGCCAAAGTAAAATCAATCCTTTTACTATAAAAATCAATACAACATTTTCTACAATTGAATACATTATTTTTATATATTTATAATTGAAACTATGTCGAAGGAAGACGAAGAGGAAGTTTCCTCAATTAAATGTTAACTTTAAAACAAGTTCAAGAAGTTTTATTTGAGGGAAAGCTAAAGACAAATGTACATAGGAGGATAATATATCCAAAGTCAGGGAATATCTTATTAAAAATATCTACGAGCTCAGGAACTTCTTTTTAAACACAAAAAGAAGAACCAACACCAACACTTCTTGACCCGTGACCACTCCACCTTGGTTATATCTTTTATTTATTCAACTTCAAAACCCATTCTTTGTACATTTACCATCTTGGGCATATCTAAACCCGGCCATTATAATAACTTTTGTTTGGTTTCTTCTGGCTGATGCCATTGGCATTGGACATATGGGCAATTAAATCGCTTATCACCCTTTGATCTCTCACGCCCTCGGCCCTGGCCCATTACCGAGGCCAATCAAAAGTGTAATATCATCGGTAAATATCTTACCAATAAAGCCCGGCACCCACACGGGCTAAAAAGAGCAACGAGAAGAGCCAGACAGGGGCACAATCAGTCGGATGTTTACAAGTTTTATGAGCCACCAAATAACAAGATGAACAACAGGCAACCGAAAAAGAAACCAGAACCAGAAACTCGGGGGAAAAAAACGAAACCTAAACGATGCTTGACTCTGGGTTTGTGTTTTTGGGATTCGATTCGCAATTCGCCTTTGCATTTTTTGTTTTTTAAATATAACTCAGCGTGAGTCGAGACACGATTTTTATCGTCTTTAATTTGCTTTTTATTTGATATCATATTTCAAGGCGGACCTCGCAGAGGTGCCCTGCCAAAAAGAGATCTTTGCTTTTTTTTGAGGGCAAGAACTTTAAGTCAAGACGTCATAATGTCATAAAAATGTCACATACTTTTAATAACTTTATGACAGCTACAAAATCATAAACAAAATGCCCTGACAGCCAGCCACACACACACACACCCCGAGGAGAAAGGGAAGTGGATTCTGCGGCTGGGATCTCTTTTGGGAGTCATCATAATGAGATGTGTCATGTTTTGCCTTCCGAGAAATGTTTCTTGTTGGCCTTTTTGGCTTCTGCCGCGATTGAACATCGTCTAGAGTTGTCTTGGACAGAACTAAATCCTGTCTGCGCCCCCCAAGAGTCTCAATTATAAACATGACAGCCTGATTGTTAATTTTGATGTTTAAATGATGATGAGAAATGTCAGAGGATTATAGATCTATCTAGAAATCATAGAAAACTATTAAGCTCTAATATTTCTTAGATCTATTAGTTAATTTTAGAAGGTAATAACACTCCCTCCTCCACCTTTGAAATACAAAAACCAAACCTATCCCAGACTTGGCTTTAGTTTCAACGCATAAATTCGCTTCGCGAGAGAATAAAATTATGGTATATAAAGTCGGGACTTTGGCTGCATTATAATGAGGATTTCTGTTGTATCTTTTTTTTTTCTTTACTCGCAAACCCTCAGCTTGCTGAGTTATTAAATGCCAAGTTATTTGTCGTTTAGCTGGAAATTCATGCAGGTCGGCGGCAGTACTTTAACTTCTTCGTTTCGTTTCGTTTTCTTTTTCTTTTGTTTTGGGGACTTTGAGACTGCTTTATGGATGTGAGTAGGAAATCTTTACGAGTTTCTGGTGGTGAGACAAATTTATTGGCAAGGCATAAATGTATCTGGCGTTTTACTTTTCCCGTTTGGCATTAATATCGTAAGTCGTAAAGATTTTTAATGTTGCATAAAGCCGTTTGCTGGAAACTATTTACATATGCAGCTCGATGGTTTATGGAGCCCTAAAGCGTAAATATCTTTCTCTATGGGAAAATGCTGTAGGGAATAAGGTGTTGAGTGTGGGTTATAAAGGAAAAGACATTCGATTTTAAGAGGGTTATTTTTAAAGTTTATAGTTCAATCACTAATTGGCATTATCATAGATCAAAAGATACATATTTAGCTCATTTATTTTGATAGAAATTGAGTTTAAGCTCACAATTCCCATTGAAACTCAATTTGCCATTTTCCCTTCGACTAAATAATTTGTTGTACACATTTGTTAAAAACTTTACGCTTATCTTGTATGCCTTTTCCGGCCAAAAACCAACTTTATAAATAAGCCAATACTGCGAACGCCGAGTCCCTCCCTCTCTCTGTGTGTGTAAAACTTGCTCCTGTGAGTTTGGCGTGTCCTTGGGCTTTCTTTCAGGTAGAGAGCAGAGTTATTTTGTGATTGCACAAATGCAAAATGCATAACAATCACAATTGCACCAAAAATATTTCCCCATGCAAATTGGGATTTATATGTACGAGAATGGAGAGAAAGATATGGCCTCGTTCCCCGGCAAAAAGTTTCCTCGAAGGAGCTAAAAGTGGCTTTGCTTTACCTTCAAGTGTTGTAACCCAGTTTTGGATTGCTTTTTTATTTGCCAATCCAGGACTGTAGTTAAGGATGTGGTTATGGATATGCAGATGCCGATGCAGATGCTCCCCCGGGGGGAATCCCAAGTAGTTTATGCAACATTTAGCTAAATCTACCAAAAAAAAACAAAGTTGCCCCAAACTTTTGATCGATGGTGAAATTGCTTGGCAATTAGGTAAATACATTGGGGGAAACTCTTTAATATACAAAACAGATTTCAAATATTTTATAAGCATTATTATTGCTTTAAAATATATATAGTTAAAAAGGAAGCAAGAAGGGAAAAAGGTGGCAGAAGAGGAGTTTTATATTTTTAAATAATGTAAGGAAAAATTATCTGAACTAAAAGTACCACAAGTTATTTAAATAATATTTAGTAATCTTTCAAGTTAATAATCCTCTTCGGGATAAGGCATACAATGACAGGCTCCTGGGGTATTCGATTTTAGCCACCGAAGATACTGATTGACTCTTGTATACACTCCCGGGGACTTGGGTCTGGCACATCCTGCTCCCCAGGACACTATCCCTGCCAGTTGATATTGTCCTGGCTGCTCGTCAAAGGTAGTTTGAAGGGGACCACCGCTATCACCACCACAGGCATCCTTGCCACCCTCTGAGATATATCCAGCACACATCATATTATCTGTGATTTGTCCAGGCTTGTAGGTAGTATGATTTCGACATTCTGATTGCGGTATAACAACCACTTGAACTTCCTAAAATTATGTATATAAAATACTAATATATCCAGAAATATGGAAACCTCACCCTCAATGTATCGCTAGCCGAGCCTCCCTCCTTCTGGGCTCCCCATCCTGTGACCACCGCCAGTTCGTGATCAAAACTGTGACCCTGAATGGGCAAACAAATGGGTCTTATGCGACGATTCTCCATATCTATTGGTCGCTCCAATCTCAAAATAGCTATATCATTGTCAAAACTCCGAGGATTATAGAGCTCATGAACCTTTACTTTGGTCACATATCTCTGGATAATCACAACATCCTCGTTTGGGTGACTTCGATTGTGTTCCAGGAATCGTAGAGTAAGAAGTTCTGGAGGAACTCCCTCTACACAATGACCAGCTGTTAGGACATACAGATCATTTATCAGTGATCCCGAGCAATAGAATCTATCGTGTATAAGGATCACAGCCATCCAAGGATATTGGTGAACTCTAGTCTCTTCACCGCCCACAATTTTGTTCAGAGTATTGATAAAACCACAGCGACAGGTCACACAATATCTATCCATGGGGAAATTGGGCACTGGTGAATATGTTGGTGAAGTTATTGGAGCTGTTGTTGAAGTTGTAACTCCAGTTATTAAAGATGTTGTGGAAGTTGTTATTGGTGCTTTTGTCGTGGATTTCCTTGTGGTAATTTCAGTGGTTTGTAATCCACTTGGCGATGTTGTGCTCGTACTTCCCGGTGGTGGTAAAAATATCGAACTTATCCACTCGAAAAAATTCCCCTGCAAGGGTCGAACAGGTCGCTTGGCTGCCGTTGTTGAAGCAAATACACACAGGAAGCCACAGAAAATAGCGATCAACAACTGGAGGTTCTTCATCTTCCTGGCACTTTCTATTACTAAACTTGAAACTCTCACGGATCATCCGTTTTAAAGCAGAATTCACAACAAATCCACTCTGCCTGCTAATCACGTTTTATTCTATCAACAAACCTGACGGCTGGCTGTGCAACTTTTCATTTTGGCAACACCACACACATTTTCCAGGCTGTCGCACAAATGAATTCATGAAATGTTTGCCCCAGCAAAGTGTAAATGCCTGCCAGGTTAACTAACTAATTCTGGGCAAACGGGAGGGTTTACATATTTGCAAAGGGGTTTTTCACAGAAGATTGCACTTTTCATGAACGTCAAATTAAATGGGGGCTTTAATGAGGTTAAAGATTTGAATTAAATTTAAACTTGATACGGATTTCTGTGAAGAACATTTGTAAAGTTCAGTAGAAGAGTGTTTAGGGATAGTTTAATTAATTGTATTTTATTAAATCCCTTTTGCTTCCATCCAATTTTCCCATCGATTATTCTTAATCACCACACAATTTCCCCTAATTGACAACTGTTAATACAAGTTTCCACATCAACTTTTCCAACTATTTATCCAATATTATGCAAATCAGACGCCCAATAAGACTTCAATCAAGAGTTGACACTCCGCCACAAAGCTGGCAAGTTTTCCCTCTAACTTTTCCCCACCGTTTTCTGATTTTCCCCCCCTTGTCATTTGCCTGTGTGTGTGTTTCGTAAGCTGGCACAATAATCTGTAATAGGCTTAGGCATGAAATATTGACGCTTAGTGACCGCTTAGTGGATGCCAAATGACTAAGTAACGTCATCTTGGTGAAAAAACTCCCAAACTCACAGGACTCCCAACTCCTCCAACTGTAATTAGAAGAGCTCTGTAAATTAGTGAAAGCATTTTCATAACAATTTCCCCCCCGGTGGGTTAGTGTGTGTGTGTGTACATTTATTTGTGGAAAACTAAGCCGCTTATGGGACTGAGACTGTGAGCAAAGCTTTGCGACTTTGACTAATTGAATTTGGTCTATATATTGGGGTATATCCATTGAAGCGTGGCTTTAACCCCAGCACACGACTACAATTTGGATGGTTACACCCACATATGGCAACTGCACTGATGAAAATGGGGAAATATGTCATTAAAGCAAGACCTACGCATTGAAATATTTTTGTAGAATTAATAGAGTATGTAAAACTTGTAAGAAAATAATTCAATATATTATAAGTTGATTTTTAAAATATTTTTTAAGGGTTCTCTATCAAATTAGGTTTTAAAAATTTATCACAAATATATTTCTCCTTCTGTACACTTCATGCTTCAACGCCTAAATGGTAACATTTTACCCCAGTTGCATTTTATAGACTAAAGAACTTGGGAGTGTATTTTCCTGGGGATGGGGTTACTGCTACTGCCAGCACCTCCAGTAAATTGTCCAATTATAAAACTGCGTAGGCCAGGTAGCAGTAGCCAGTTGAAAAACCAGACCAGGAGAAGACTGGAAGACCCGAAGACCAGAAGCCAACTGTTTCGGGGGGGGGAACTGGAGACGCATCATCCACATGTTTCTGTCACTTTTGATAGTCGCTCTCCTCTCGCTTAATTGATATTTATGGAAATGGTTTTCTGCCGGAAAGTGGAGCGCATGTGGGGAGATTTACAAGCCACAACATTGAACTTCATTCCGCCGCTCATTAGAGAGTGGGAGACACACAGATACACACCATCCCAAGAGATACGAGCTGAAACTAGAGCCAGAACTAGAGCTGAAACTGGAAAAACAATACTGCAGAAGTAATCCACTGACCCACAACTGCAGCCAAGAAAGGCAGCTGGAGAGCAGTGGCAGTAGCTTTTGTCCAGCTGAAATATATGGCTTAATTGTGGCCGAGTAATAAACATGTCTCGGGGTGGCTAAAAAGTTTTTCGGCTTGCCCAAGAAGTTTCCAGGCAAAAGAAAACCAATTAAAATGGCCAAGAGAGGCAAAAGTCAGAAATTAGAGAGCAGAATCTTGCTCGACTGGAGTTTGAAGTGGTTAGAAAAAAGCCATAAGGTACCTGGAATTTGTTTTAAAACCCCTTGAAAACTATACGGAAAATTTTGTTTGATTTAATTAATAAGCATAAGGATTTTAGTTTATTTAAAAACACTGAAAGATGAAAAATCCCAATACATATTTCAAACTTCGGTTGATTTGCTTTAAAAATAAACAAAATATTAATTAAGTAATTTCCCAATTCATAGTTCCCTTTCACATTTTTTGGCTTCAAAAATGTATCTGTATCTCCAATGAGAACCGAATGTTTTGCATTGCGTAGGCTGGTCCAGTGTGTGAACATGATTTAAAGGCAAATGCCAGTAAGTAAAATATATTTATGAACACACACAATATATCTGGACACTACTTAGTTGTCGAACATGAGCTCTTTGGCCGCTATCGCGACAGCATCGGGCTTTAAAATCCGCAGCTTACAAAACATCAGGCAAATGCAGCCAAAACACACATTCCACCACCGACGGCAACAACGACGGCTTTTAATTAAAAGCAACATTTTCACAGGCCAGAGAACAAGCTTATTAACAGTTAACCCAAGCCACTAAAAATATGTACAAAATAAGGGGTAAAACAAAAAAGAGGGGAAAAAGGAAATACAACGACTGTCAATTGATAAACAAGTCAACTGTCACTTAGGCCCAACATTGATAGCGACTCTGCGTTAATCAGGCAAAGTGTCCAACTCCGAGTTCGACTTTGAGTCCGAGTCCGAGTCCGAGTCCTGCCCCGAGGACCGGATCCCAGCTCCAGCTCCAACTCCAACTCCTTCTGGTAAAAAACTCCACTTGTTGCTGGCTGGCAGCTGATGGCGATAAGCAGCGACACATGTCACAAGATTTTTCAGTCTCAGCCTCCGCCTCTTCTCTTTCGGTTTTCCTTTATTTTTATTTTAATCAAAAGTGGAAATTAAACGCGGCTAATGAAGATTTTAATTGCGTGCAAAAAGCAACGCTGCAAGTTGCATGTGGGCTTTGTGTATCTATAAAAGAAATATGTACATATGTGCAGCACATAAACTTGCAACTTAGGATTTACATGATCAGCATTTGTTGGCAACACGCAATCCCCTAACCAGAGAGAGAGAAAGAGCCCCATCAACTTTGGCTAAGCTGATTATGACAGTTTTACAAGGGGACAGTGGGCTTAAAACAAGGAAAATAAATGGAAAGGGAAGTACAGTGGAAATTTATGGCCATGTGAACAAAGGCAAATAGAGTGCTGGACTTAGCATGTCAGCTATTCTAGCCTTTGACTTTGACTATTGAATGGTGTCTATTAAAAAATATACCTTTCCAAGGTATATACATTTATTATAACTCAAGGAGAGTCTTAAATGAAGCATTAGATATTTTAAAATTATAAAATACATGTCCAGAAACTTGAAACTTGAAACTATATTTTTTATTTTATTTCCCAAGGCCTCTAAGAGTTTATATTTAAACCCAAAACCTTCCAAAATCTTCCCAATTTTGCATTTTTATTTTACCCAAAGCCTTCCAAAATCTTCCCAATTTTGCATTCTAAATTTATTTATGTTACCGTCTCTCCCCTTAGCCCTATATTCCCTTAAATCATACCCCTGAAACCCACGATATCAACCAGTTAAAGAGCAATTGATTGCTCAGGCAACAGACATATCAAAATCCTTTTGTCAGTCACCCAATTTACATAGAGCAGGTTCCACCTACCCCCAACTTCCTCTGCCTCTGAGTTTCCTTTTCACCTCAAAGCCACCGGGGGAAAAACGAAAAGAAAATGTGAAAAATGTCACGCTTCATTTGGTTTAACCGTTCAAACGGACACCTGGCCCGAAAGGTAACCTACAAAGTAAAAGAGAGATGATAGTAGGGACAGAGAAAAACACGGCACACAAACTCCATGAGAGATGTGGACACAAATCGAATCGGACAGATCGATTAGGCATACAAATGTGCAATTAGAAGTGGAAAGTTCACTTTGTCCACTCCGGAGAGATGGATATACATATGTATATATGGTCTATATATGTATGTATAGCTACCCTTTGCCCAATTAGGCGTTACAAATTGTTGGCTAGATGTCCGAATCGGAATTGGAATCGGAACTGGAAGCGGATATAGAGACAGCAAACGAGCCATGTAAAAGAGATGAAAGCCGCTTTATATATTTCCCCCGTTTTCAGCTTCAATTAATTGAATTAAATTTTGTGAGTAATTTTCTACTTTTTTTGTAATTTACGCGCCATTCGGTTAACCGAATATGTCTGACGCTGGCCACAAATTTCAATAATTACCGACAGTTTTTAATTATCCCTGCGCGGGGGTGGAGCAGTTCACTGACCAGCAAATAGTTTGGAACAGCATTTAATTATTATTTATGATTGTTTAGCGCAGTTCTGTACTGAAATTGATTAATGCGGTTTTATCGTGTTTGCAGTGAGTGTGTCCGGTCAAGTTTATTAATTTGTTAAAGCCAGCAGCGATTTGACACAAAAGCCCACTCACTTTCCCCCCCAAAAACACCCACTTTTTCTGGCCATTATATGTGGGCTTTTCAGTCATGTCGCCTGCCCATTACAATTACATATTAATTAATAACAATTTTCTTGTATTTTACCAGGGGGCCAGGGGAAGGGGGCTTGCGATTGGTGTTGAAGCGTGTAAAGCTATAATTAACAAATATTCGATGCTGCAATTATTGTTTATTTTCTATGGTTCGGAAGAGTTGAGTAGAGTATTTTCAATGGGGAGTTTTATAGAAATTTATACTGGCAGATTTAAATGTAAAACATAGTAAAACGTAATGGCAAAAGTAAACCTTAAAATATTGATTTCCTTACTTAATACGATGATTAACCTTTTTATTATAAAAAAGCTTCTTTTTAATTTCCTATAGATATTAATTAAGTATGTATGTTTAATATTTATATAAGCATTCCAAGATTCCCAGGCCCAGGTATTATTTATTAAACAAATACCATAATTACA